ACATACAGGTGTTTTAACTGAATGCCAAGAAAGAAAGACATCAGCAATGTCATATAAGGGACTATTTGGAGTCACAAAAATTGAAAGAAAATTGACTCTTTTTTTGGAACCACTCTGATCAAATATTTGAACAAATTATCAACAACATTTGGGGATAAATCTGTCAGATTAAAAAACGCCCCAAGAAACAGAAAAGTGACAAAAGCTGAAGTGAGTCCGGTTCAGGACAACTGGCAACGCTCACAATCAGCAACATTTTCAAAACTTCCTGCGTTCAGAGAGTGAGGCCTCTGCAAAACTGATGGCCCTTGGTTATGATTCCAGACATTTTGGATCTCCCTCCTGACTGTTATCAGCCCACAGTCCAACAACATGCCTCTCTGATGGTATGGGGGCGCATTAGTCCTCCACATTAGGAAGGAGAGGAACCATGTGGACTGATTCTGAACAAAAGCCTTTGGAAGGGCTGCAAGAGAAAACCTCCTCTCTAAAAACCACATGGCAGCACAACAGGTTTGTTTCATCTGAAGGAACCACAAGACGTCTAGACCAGAACCAGACCAGAGGACGGATGTTTACCCAGAATGCACTGCAGCAAACAGCTCCTCCCAGCACGGTGGTGGAGGCTGATGGTTTGGGCTCCATACGGTTCTTGTTCTCTGGTCCCTTTAAGCACAAACTAAAGGTTTCGTCTGTAATTTAAAAAAATATATATGTTTCATGTCTCACTCGGGGACAAAACCCAGAGCATCGTCTTCAGGCATTTGTCTCCGGCGTCTCAGCGTGCGGTTGCCGTGGTGACAGATAATCCTTTAGCTCGCTGTCGTTTGTCTTTGGGACGAGGAGACGTTCGGTCCGTGCTAACGAGGACAAACACAACATCTTTCAGGAGGACGGTTTGTGGGTTTTGTGCTTACAGACGCAGAAATGTTCCACATTCTTCATCCGAACGCTGAGAGAGAAAAACTGAGCAGACGACGCTCAGAGCTGCGGAGTCACACATTTAACAAGATGAGAGACATGACGGAGGAAATGAGACCCTGTGGACCCAACGAGACCAGGAGACGGACCAGGAGACGGACCAGGAGACAGATCAGGAGACGGACCAGGGGACAGATCAGGGGACGGACCAGGAGACGGACCAGGGGACAGATCAGGGGACAGATCAGGAGACGGACCAGGGGACAGACCAGGGGACAGACCAGGGGACAGATCAGGAGACAGCAGATGTTTACATGAAATGTTAAATTGGAACTAAATGTCTCCATGAATTTATTTGAATTTAGAACAGACTGTGAGCGTCACTACATTACCCAGAATTCATCATTCCTTAGCGCTGACCTGCAGGTGTTTAAATGTTACAGGTTTGTTTGTTTGTTTGTTTGTTTGTTGTCCTCACATTAAATCTCGTTTGCTCGTGACTCGGTCACGTCACTGAATCTTCTCTCTTTGATTTTCAATTTGTGTTTTTTTTGTTTTCGGCTGTTTTGAAGTTGTTTTTTTTTGTTCCAGATGAGAGAAATCAAAGCAGGACGCTTGTCTCCACCACCTGTCCCTGTGGACACCTGGACACCTGGGCGTCCGCTCGTCCAGAGCTGTGCAGGGTCAGAGGTCACCGGACTCACACGGGGAAGTTCCAGCTGCTGCGGCTGATTTAAGGGTTTAGAGCAGACGTGAGACGAACCCAGGCTTCATCCCAGATTTAAACTGGTTCAACTCCAGCAAAACGTCCAGATGTTACAAAATAAAAGCCTCAGAAGACCAAAATAAGTGTTTTGTTTTCTTTAATATAAGATAAACATTAAAATAAGTTGGGTTTTTTTTTATGATTAAACTTTAGCTCTTTAGATCGACAGCACTTTGATTTTCTTTTATGGTTCTGTTAACCCTCCTGCTGCCCTGGGGTCAAAACGACCCGTGAGGCTCAGCGGGTCATGTGACCCCAGGGCAGCAGGAGGGTGAAGACAACAAATGTTGACCAACACAGTTAAAGTCAACAACAAACAAACAAATAAAGCAATGAAGATGAAAGCCCTTCTGGATTGGATCCTGGTTCTGATGAATCAGAGGCCCTGCAGGTCCAGGTGGTTCTGGAGCTGCTTGCTCAGCGATCCTGAACAACGGGACAGAACCACACCTGAACCGGGCTGCTGACTAATCTCAGCGACCTGCAGGAACTCTCCTCACCTGCCTATCTGGGTCAACCCGGGCTAACGCGTGCCGTCTGGAACCATCCGTCACGTTTGTGGTGCTGACCCGACAGAACCTGCAGCAGAACTGACGGCAGCAACAGATATTTCCACGTCAACAAAACCCGAGCAGGGCGGTCCAGAAGAACAAACACCAGAGCTGCTGAGATCCATCACAGTCAGAGATGATGAGGTCGACCCGCTCCGAGCAGCTGGAGGGCTTTATCTTCAGGTGTGGCGTTCAGGGAGCGTAGGACCTAATCTGAACCTACAGCAACTTTAAAAACTTTTCCTTCAAGTCAAGTAACATTTTATTATCTAAGCTGCTACAGAGCCAAACTCTTATTTTGAAGAGCTTTATTTTGAAAGTCCAGGTTGAGTCCTCTTCCTGTTTCCTGTCTGACTCAATCCTCCTGAACATCAGGGACGACATGTGGGGGCGGCCATGTTGGAAACAGACGAGGAAGAAAAACATGCTGGGTAATACAGAAGATCCACAATCTGCTGAGTCACTGGTTGTCATGGTGATTCCCGCCCCTTTAGGCAGCAGAAAGGGGCGGGGCATCACCCAGCAGCACATCAGGCAGAACCACAGAGTAAAAAGGAAGCCTCAGACAAACAGTCTGTGTGACAAAAAAAACATCTCTGCTCCCGATGGTACCACAGGTTCTGTTTGATGGTTCTACAGGTTCTTACAGTAAAAACCATCTCTGCTCCTGATGGTACCACAGGTTCTGTTTGATGGTTCTACATGTTCTTACAGTAAAAACCATCTCTGCTCCGGACGGACACTCAAGATCTGATGGTGTCGGCACCTTTAACGAGATGAAGACAGCTGAAGATGCTGAAACGAAACTCATCACCAGCTGAAAAACATTTACAAAAAGAACAAACACTAAAATAAAACTCCTGAAGAACAAGAAATCCAGAAGAACATCCAACAGAACCTGACGGAGACAGAAGAGACCAGGTGCAGAACGAGATTAAAGAGGAGAGGTGGACTGAGTCAGCACACACACACACACACACACACACACACACACACACACACACACAC